TTCATGTTCGCTAAATTATATGTAACCTTTGATTTCGCTACAATATAAGAGTTCACCTACGTGGCCTTCTGGCTCGTCAATATTATGATGAGTGCTGCATAGATTAGTTTTCTCTTTAAACATGTTGGAGATTTATAAAACTTAAAAAGTATCACCATTAGTCATTATGTGATATTTGTATGTGACATGTACAATCCAACGAAGAATTTTGACTTATCCCTTTTTATACTAAAATTTTTTTTCAGGTTGTTGGAGTCGACGTATTATGAGAAAATAATATTTAATATTTAATGTTGTTGTGCCACATACTCACAGGGGCCAGCGGGGCACTTGGGGTTGTCAATTTTCAAATATTTCATTTAATTTGATATATATATATATAATATAAAATATAGATAAAAATTTAAAAAATGTACAATTTCTTTTCTAAAAAATTGGTCCTTTGATAAGTTTCCATTAACAAAAAAAAGTTATCCAGTAGAAGTTCAACTATAAATAATTTTTCAAATAAAAAAAATGGTTATTATTATTTTTTTTTTTTAAAACTGAGGGAATAGCCACAACAAGCTGTGCAGCTATTGTGAGCCGCTTGCGTTGCTCGGTCGACAGGCCATAAGCTTGCCCACTAATGCGTCCTTGATCCACTCGATGGTCTCCACGACATGCTTCACAAATTCCTATTAGAAAGCAATATACAGTAATAAAATTCAAATAACTAATTTATTTGCCTCAAGTTTAGTGATCGACGTTGAGACTCTAGGACAAGTCGTACATATTTCTTGTTGGAATAAATTTGATGATCAAGGCGCAGCCATGCGGAAAAAATAAGGAATTCATGGACAGTAATTTAACTGAGGGGAAACAAGTGAAATTAAGGACGTGACTATTATTGACCTCTAGGAGAAGTATATCACTAATTAATGTCCGTCAGTTTAGTTCAATGCATTGTGGCTTGATCAGGCTGGCGGGGTAAGTCACACAAGCTTGCTATCATCGTGCGGCGTATTTCATGGGTTGTTCAAGTACATGGGCTTGTTGTGCAGCCGAGATAAAGACCTCAAGCTAATACTAACCACCACCGTGTAGTACAAGTGTGGCAACATCACATCTGCTAGGGTTGTTTTCGACAATCTTAACGCAAATGAAGTCATGACTTGGACCGTGGTAATATATCCATGTACTGCTGTATCATGTGCTCGAGATTTGGCCATGCAGGCTCTTCCATGGATGATAGGTTCAGGTCACGTTCTAGACGTACGGGATTACTTTTGTGGAAGTTACTGAGTACATAATTAATTACTTGCCTATTGGCCACTCTTGTTCGTTTTTTATGCTACTATTACTTATCTATTGAAACTATTGCTTGAATTTGTGTTGGTTTTTTAAGAATTAAGAGTATTATATATATATATATATGTTGGATCGAGTTAAAACATTGAAAATTAAAAGTGTAATTTTGAATTAATTGTACAACATGGAATTAATTAACCATGAATGATTGGTTACATTAATGATTCTCTTGTAAACTATGCATCATCGTCTTCTTCTTGTACGGCTCTGACTTTGCAAAGGGGGCAGACATTCTTCTCCCTCAGCCACTGCTTGATGCAGTCCACGTGG